ACTAGTCCCCACTACTCCGCTCTTACCCCAACTATTCCCCACTCTCCTGCTCTCACCACAACTCATCCCCACTCCCCCCGCTCTTATCCGAACTGTCCCACTCCCCCTGCTCTGACCCAAACTAATCCCCACTTCACCCGCTCTTACCCCAACTACCCCCACTCCCCCTGCTCTGACCCAAACTAATCCCCACTCCCCTGCTCTCACCCCAACTCATCCCTACTTCCCCGCTCTTACCCCGATGAGTCCCACTCCCCCCACTCTTACCCTAATTAGTCCCACTCCTGCGCTCTTACCTCAACTAGTCCCACTCCCGCGCTCTTACCCCAACTAGTCCCCACTCCCCTCGCTCTTACCCCAACTATCCCCCACTCCCCCGCTCTCACCCCAACTCATCCCTACTCCCCCACTCTTACCCCAACTAGTTCCACTCCCCCCGTTCTTACCCCAACTCGTCCCACTCCCCCGCTCTTACCCCAACTAGTCCCCACTCCCCCCGCTCTTACCCCTACTGGTCCCACTCCCCCGCTCATACCCGAACTCGTCCCACTCCCTCGCTCTTACCCCAAGTACCCCCACTCCCCCGCTCTTATCCCAATTAGTCCCCACTACTCCGCTCTTACCCCAACTATTCCCCACTCCCCTGCTCTCACCACAACTCATCCCCACTCCCCCGCTCTTATCCGAACTGTCCCACTCCCCCTGCTCTGACCCAAACTACCCCCACTCCCCCGCTCTTACCCCAACTACCCCTACTCCCCCGCTCTTACCCCAACTGGTCCCCACTCCCTCGCTCTTACCACAACTAGACCCCATTCCCCGGCTCTTCCCCCAACTAGTCCCTCTTTCCCCGCTCTTACCCCATATAGTCCCCACTCCCCCGCTCATACCCCAACTACGCCCATTCCCCCACTCTTACCCCAACTAGTCCCACTCCCCTGCTCTCAGCCCAACTCATCCCTACTCCCCCTCTCTTACCTCAACTAGTCCCACTCCAGCTCTCTTACCCCAAATAGTCCCACTCCCCCACCCTTACCCCAACTAGTCCCCACTTCCCCGCTCTTACCCCAACTAGTCCAGACTTCCCCGCTCTTACCCCAACTAACCCCACTCCCCCGCTCTTACCCCAACTAGTCCTCACTCCCCCGCTCTTACCCCAACTAACCCCACTCCCCCGCTCTTACCCCAACTAGTCCTCACTCCCCCGCTCTTACCCCAACTAGTCCAGACTTCCCCCGCTCTTACCCGAACTAACCCCACTCCCCCGCTCTTACCCCAACTAGTCCAGACTCCCCCTGCTCTTACCCTAACTACCCCCACTCCCCCGCTCTTACCCCAACTAGTCCCCACTCCCCCGCTCTTACCCCAACTAGTCCAGACTTCCCCGCTCTTACCCCAACTAACCCCACTCCCCCGTTCTTACCGCAACTAGTCCCACTCCCCCGCTCTTACCCCAACTGGTCCCCACTCACCCGCTCTTACCCCAACTTGTCGCCCCTCCCCCACTCTTACTCCAACTCGTCCACACTCCCCCGCTCTTACCCCAACTTGTTGCCCCTCCTCCGCTCTTACCCCAACTAGTCCCCACTCCCCCGCTCTTACCCCAGCTACCCCTACTCCCCCGCTCTTACCCCAACTGGTCCCCACTCCCTCGCTCTTACCACAACTAGACCCCATTCCCCGGCTCTTCCCCCAACTAGTCCCTCTTTCCCCGCTCTTACCCCATATAGTCCCCACTCCCCCGCTCTTACCCCAGCTACCACTACTCCGCCGCTCTTACTGACCCACCTGCCCATCAGAGGAAATGCAGGAGAGTGCAAATAGTGAGAGTGAGTTTAAATAATTAATGTGATAAATCACTATCAAACATATTCTAACTCTCTGCTGAATCTTTACCTCTTTCTCTCTCTCTTTCGTTGTCTCTGTGTGTGTCTCTCCCCCCCACACTGCATTGTCTCTCTTCCTCCCACTGTCTCTCGTCTCTTTCCCCCCTCTCTTTCTTTCCCTCCTTTCTCTGCCTCTCCCTCCCTCTCTGTCCCTCCCCACTCATTCTCTGTCTGTCTGTCCCTCCCCCCCGCGCTCTCTCTCTTTATATCTCTACCCATCCCCCGTCTCTTTTCCTCCCCCATCTGTCTGTCTGTCTCTATTCCCCACCCACGCTCTGTCTCCTTCCCCCACCCCCCTCTGTCTCCCCCCATCCCTTCTTTCTCTCTCTGTCCGTGGCCAGTGCTGGAGGTGTTACAGTTTGGCAGAGATGCTGCGGTGGCTGAGACCTGGCTGTCCGGGCAGGAGCCGTACGTGCGAGCGGCTGACATCGGGAGCAGTGTGGACGATGTGGAGAATCTGATCAAGAGGCACGAAGCCTTCGAGAAATCAGCCGTTGGCTGGGAGGAGCGATTCCTGGCCCTGGAGAAACTGACCACAGTGAGTGACACTGTCCATCTGCTGCCTCTGCTCGACCGGTTCTGGCCTCCTGCGTGTCCCTGGTCCACTCCACCACCTGGCGATGGTGATTTCAGCCACTACACCCAGCAGCTCTGAAACTCTCTCCCCCAATCCCTCCACCTCGCTCGCCCCCTCCCCCACCTCCTTCAAGACCCCCCTCTTCGAACAGCCGCACCTTCGGTCGCCCTCCTACCCCCCACTCTCCCTACCCTCCACTCCTCCTGATCCCAACCCCCAGCTCGGGGCCAAACCCCTCACTGTCCAGCGCCTTGGGCCGTCCTCCTGGCCTGAGAGACGCTGTGTAAATGTCATGTGTAGTTGTTGTGTGACAGAGACCCTCCATGTGTTACAGCTGGAGCAGAATGAGATCCGCCGAGCCCAGGAGGAGGAGGAACGCAGGAAGAAGCCCTCTCCCCCACCCTCGCCCACCAAGCCCCACGATGGAGAGGAGCACGGCAACGGGTTGCCAGGGTAACACTGCCCACTGTGACAACCGAACAGGGTCACCATGGAAACTGTGGGGAAGGAGAGCGCGGTGGTATTTGGAAGGGAATTGCATTGTCGCCGGCTCCCAGGGCTGACTTTACAGCCCACAGATACCCGCTCTCAGCCACCACATCCCGAAGCTTTGCAACTCTCTTCCATCCCCTCTCTTACGGTCATCCTCTGATGTTCCTACTTACTGCGAGACAAACACACACACACGTCTCTGTTTACCAGCAGTAAGTAGGAACCCTGTTGTTAGCTGATTGGTGGATTGCTTTCTGGGGGTAATAATCCCTTAAAAAAATAATAATAATAATAGCACTTTACAGTGTATCCTGTGAAGCGCTTTGAGACGTCTCGATGATGTGATAAGGCTCTGTATGAAATGCAAAGATTAATGCTGGAGCAAAGCCATACAATGGGGGGGGAGAGGGAGGGTAAATGTAGACTCAATGCCCCCTCTAGCCCCCACCCCCTTCCAACCTGTTCCCACTCACCAGCCGTGCTCTCTCTGCCTCTATGGGATCAGCCATACTTACGGTCCATTTGTTCTGCTGTTTGTAGGGAGACCAAAGAAATCATTCATCACCTTGAACCAATTGCACAGAACGGGATGCACTCAGACATGGAATCTCCACAGGTCAGAGGCAAAGCTGTCCACGCTGCTTCCCCCACCCCCCCACCCCCATCGTTCGCTCCTTCCCTCCCTTGCCGTCTCAAACCAGCAGCTCCCCGCAATCACACTCACCCCATCACCCCCATCCTCGCCCGGCTCCACTGACTCCCCATCACCCAGAGGATAAAGTTCACCTGTCCGCTCCCACAGCTCAGCGGGCTCTGGCCTGCTCCACATCCCCCGCCTGGCCCACCTCACCATCATCAATCAGGCCTTCAGCTTCTCTGTCCCCACCCTCTGGAACTGCATCCCACAGTCCCTCCACCTCACCCCTCATTTGCCTCCTTCAAGTCCTGTCTCAAGAAAACAACAACAACAACAAGATTCCATTTATAGAGCGCCTTTCACGTCGGGAGGACGTCCCAAAGCGCTGAAGAGTCAGGTGTCGGGGTCCGAACGTGGGGAAGGGGTGGTGGGATAGGGGTGAGGGAAGGCTTTCAAAAGACATTTGACAAAGTGCCACATGAAAGACATGTAAGAAAGATAGAAGCCCACAGTATAAAAGGGACAGTGGCCACATGGATCCAGAACGGGTCGGGAGACAGAAAGCAGAGAGTTGTGGTGAACGGCTGCTTCTCTGGAGGGAAGTGTACAGTGGTGTCCCTCAGGGATTGGTATAAGGATCACTCCTCTTCTTAATATATATATGTTAGATATCAAAAAAGGTCGCCCAGCATTCCGTTTAGGTAAAATCTGTTAAGCCAAACTTTATTAGTTCTATAAAGTTACACCATGGAGGGATTACAACAAAGCAATGCTACCGCTGGTCCAGACGTTCAGCAGAGGTTCCAATCTGTCTTGTCTGGTTATTCAAGCTTTCGATCTTCCATCAAGTCTTCGCTCGTGCTGCCCCGATCTTTTCCTTCTTCCCGTTCTTTGTTCTCCCTCTCTTTACACTCTCATTCCACTCCCTCTGTACCTTCCACCACTCTCTTGTCAGTCATTTACAATCCGTTATTTGTATATCCACCATTGCTTTTACAATCTATTATTTGACATACCCGATCTTACACCATTCAATGGTTGGTGATTATGTTACAATCCCGCAATAACATATCCAATCATATGTTTCCTTCACTCCCTCTTTCTTTGTTACTGACTCCATAATTACATGATCACATGTTCCATGACCTCTCACCCATTTTGACCCATTGTTAGTATGTTAATTTGCACACCTTATGCTAACACATAAATGATCTGGACTTGGGTATTTCCAAATTTGCGGACGACACAAAGTTAGGTAGGGGGTAAACAGTGAGAAGGATAGCAGCCAACTGCAGGACAGGCAGATAACGCTGTAAAAAGGGCATATGGGACACTGGGCTTTATAAAATGGGACATAGAGTACAAGAGTCAGGAGGTTATGATTAACTGATATAAAACACTGGTTAGGCCTCAGTTAGAATACTGCCCCAGTTCTGGGCATCGCACTATAGGAAGGATGTTACGGCATTGGAAAGGGTACAGAGGAGATTTACGAGGATGGGACCAGGAATGAGGGACCGTGATGATGAGGAACGGCTGGAGAGACCGGGAATATTCTCATTGGAGCAGAGAAGGTTACGATCACGGCTATGGGGAGACAGTGGGGGAGTGGGGTTGATCAGGGCTGTGGGGAGAAAACGGGGGAGTGGGGTTGATCAGGGCTATGGGGAGACAGTGGGGGGGGAGTGGGGTTGATCAGGGCTATGGGGAGAGAGCGGGGGAATGGGGTTGATCAGGGCTATGGGGAGAGCGCGGGGGTAGTGGGGTTGATCAGGGCTATGGGGAGAGAGCGGTGGAGTGGGGTTGATCGGGGCTATGGGGAGAGCGCGGGGGGAGTGGGGTTGATCGGGGCTATGGGGAGAGAGTGGGGGAGTGGGGTTGATCGGGGCTATGGGGAGACAGTGGGGGAGTGGGGTTGATCGGGGCTATGGGGAGACAGTGGGGGAGTGGGGTTGATCGGGGCTGTGGGGAGAGCGCGGGGGGAGTGGGGTTGATCGGGGCTGTGGGGAGAGCGCGGGGGGAGTGGGGTTGATCGGGGCTGTGGGGAGAGCGCGGGGGGAGTGGGGTTGATCGGGGCTATGGGGAGAGCGCGGGGGAGTGGGGTTGATCGGGGCTGTGGGGAGAGCGCGGGCGGAGTGGGGTTGATCGGGGCTGGGAGAGCGCGGGGGGAGTGGGGTTGATCGGGGCTATGGGGAGAGCGCGGGGGGAGTGGGGTTGATCGGGGCTGTGGGGAGAGCGCGGGGGGAGTGGGGTTGATCGGGGCTGTGGGGAGAGCGCGGGGGAGTGGGGTTGATCGGGGCTGTGGGGAGAGCGCGGGGGGAGTGGGGTTGATCGGGGCTATGGGAGAGCGCGGGGGAGTGGGGTTGATCGGGGCTGTGGGGAGAGCGCGGGGGAGTGGGGTTGATCGGGGCTGTGGGGAGAGCGCGGGGGGAGTGGGGTTGATCGGGGCTATGGGGAGAGCGCAGGGGGAGTGGGGTTGATCGGGGCTGTGGGGAGAGCGCGGGGGAGTGGGGTTGATCGGGGCTGTGGGGAGAGCGGGGGGAGTGGGGTTGATCGGGGCTGTGGGGAGAGCGCGGGGGGAGTGGGGTTGATCGGGGCTGTGGGGGAGGGTGGGCTTGGGGTTGATCGGGGCTGTGGGGAGAGCGCGGGGGGAGTGGGGTTGATCGGGGCTGTGGGGAGAGCGCGGGGGGAGTGGGGTTGATCGGGGCTGTGGGAGAGCGCGGGGGAGTGGGGTTGATCGGGGCTCTGGGGAGAGCGCGTGGGGAGTGGGGTTGATCGGGGCTGTGGGGAGAGCGCGGGGGGAGTGGGGTTGATCGGGGCTGGGGGAACGCGGGGGGAGTGGGGTTGATCGGGGCTGTGGGGTGGGGGGCAGTGGGGTTGATCGGGGCTGTGGGGGGAGCGGGGGGAGTGGGGTGATCGGGGCTGTGGGGAGAGCGCGGGGGGAGTGGGGCTGATCAGGGATTATTCTCATTGGAGCAGAGAAGGTTATGAGGACCTAATAGAGGGCTTCAAAACCATGAGGGGATTTGATGGGCTCGAGAGGGACAAACTGTTCCCACTGGTGGGAGTGTCGGTGACTCGAGGTCACAGATTGAGAATAGTCTAAAAGAAGCCGAGGGGCGGTGAGAAGACGTCTTCACGCAGCGCGTTGTGGGAATGTGGAACCCATCGCCTGAGAGGGCGGTGGAGGCCGATTCCATAACTACTTTTGACAACGCGGTGACGGGTATTTGCGGAGGACGGGTTTGCGGGTTATGGGGAAAGGGCCGGGAGTGGGACTGACGTTACATTACTCTATTCAAAGAGCCGCACAGACTCGATGAGCCGAATGGCCTCTTTTTGTGCTGTACGATTCTATGATTCTATGAAGGCAGAGAGAGGTGGGCGGGAGACCAAAGGCACAGTCGAAGAGAAGGGTCTTGAGGAGGGCCTTGAAGGAGGCAAGGGAGGAAGCGAGGCGTAGGGACCGTGGGATGGAGTTCCAGAGTGTGGGGGCAGAGAGGCTGAAAGCCCGGCCACCCATGGTAGGGCGGGTCGGGCGGGAGACATGGAGCAGACCAGAGCCTGATGAACGGAGGGAGTGGGCAGGTTGGTAAGGAGTCAGCAGGTCAGAGAGGTAGGAGGCGGCGAGGCCATGGATGGCCTTAAAGGTGAGGACGAGGATCTTGAACTCGATCCTCTGGGGGATGGGGAGCCAGTGGACCCTCCTCTTTGATCCCCCTCCTACCCCCACCCTCCCTGCCCTCCACCCTCCTAATCCCATCCCCCAGCTTGGGTCCAAATCCCTGACTGTCCAGCGCCTTGGGACGTCCTCCCGACATGAGAGACACCGTGTGAATGTCACGTGTTGTTGTATGAGCGTGTGTCAGACACCCACACAGCTGATCAAAAACAATTAACAGGTGTCACTACTTTACCTCTTCAGCTCACAGATGACTTCAGGCAAATGAACGACGATGGGCTGTTGACTGTGGTTGGGACGGAAAAGTCAGTAACTGTGAGTAATATTCCGCATCGCTGTGTTCACGTTACCCCCTGTGGGGACAGAGGGAGGGATTGAGAGCTTTGCACTCTCTCTCTGGCGCATTCCCTCCAAAAACAAATAATAATTTGTGAAGCGTTTTGAGATGTCTGAACGACGTGATAAGGCGCTGTATCAAATGCACGGATTATTATTCATATCTCACTGATCTTTTGTCGCGCTCTCCCTCTCAGCTGTCAGAAGCCTCGGAACCTGTTAACGGAACGGGCGATGCCAGGCAGGATGGCAGCCCCCGGGGGTCAGGGAAGAAGCCCCACCCTGCCACCCCGCTGGCCCCGGCCTCTGTCACAGTGACCAGCAAAGCCCCCGAGCCCAGCGGCCTCCAGCTCGAGGGGGGTCTGTGTCGCAAACAGGAGTGGGAGTCACACAACAAGAAGGCTTCAAGCAGGTGGGCCCCGGGTGGGGGGGGGGTTGGGAGGCAGTGACAGGAAGTGAGGGTGCAGATGGGTCAGGGACAGGAAGTGGCGGTGCGAATGGATCAGTGACAGGAAGTGAGGGTGCGGATGGGTCAGTGACAGGAAGTGAGGGTGCGGATGGGTCAGTGACAGGAAGTGAGGGTGCGGATGGGTCAGTGACAGGAAGTGAGGGTGCGGATGGGTCAGTGACAGGAAGTGAGGGTGCACAGGAGGGAGGTTAGTGAGGGGGAATCGGTGTGTAAATCGGTTGTCGCTCTCTCAAAGATCAGATGAAAAAGAGAAGGAAATTTTCACGTCCTCCCAACGTGAAAAGCGCTATATCAAATGCAAGGATTATTATTATTATTACCCCCTGGTGTCTGGGCTGACAATCCCCCGATCAGACTGACTCTCAATGCAACCCCCCCCACCCCACCAGCTCTCACACCACACACACACACACAGACCATACACACACACACCACAAACACACACACACATCACACGTGTGCCTCTCACCGCAGACACACACACAGCACGATCTCTCACCGCAGTTTGAAAACGTGTTTCCTCTTCTTGTAACCATGAGCCACTTCACAGACGGCGTCTCCGAGGCTGACCGGCACCTCCCCGTGGTAGGGCACTCCCCCACTCGCACTCTTACTGTCCTTGTAAAAGCCCAGACTCCTGTTCCTCAGCACACAGTACACGTTCTGCCACGACCTGCGAGGAGGGCAGCCATGCAGGTCATCGTGTGTGAGTGCGTATGTCTGTGTGTGTGTGTGTGTGTCTGTGTCCCCCCACCTCCCTCCTCCTCTCACCCCCCCAACCCCACCCCCATGTCGCCCACTGCCTCCCACCTTGTCACTCTCCCCACTCTCTGCAACTGACCCCCCCGCCCGTTCCTCAACACTACCTTCCCTCTTCTTACACTCTGTCACTCTCCCCCCTCCACTGTCACTGACCCTCCCTCCCACCTCGTGTGTATTTTGCGAGCGAA